TATAAAAGATAATTATACTAACTAAAAATAGAATTCCAATTTACTAAATATGAAAAGTAGAGAAATAAAGGAGAAAAGGTATAAATCTCAAAGAATTTTAATTGGCTAAATTATATCTACTTGGAATAAATAAGTATAAGAATATAAAAGTATAAAAAGTATAAATATATAAAAGTATAAAAGTATAAAATAGAAAAAGTATAAAAGTATAAAAAGTATAAGAGCATGAAGTAGAAAAATATAAAAAGTATAAAAATATAGGAGTACAAGATAAAAAAATAAAAGTATATGAATATTATAATTAATAATATATAAAGAAATTGTAAAACATTTTAAGTTTTTTATATAATCTTCATAATTTCATGAAATATTACAAATTATAGAATTAATAAATTTTATAACATAATTATAATAATATTTTTGTTAAATTTCTGGTAATTTATTATAGAGATATATATTATTTAATATAAAATAATTAATATATTTAAGAACAATTTAATAATTAAAAATAAAATTTAATAATTAAAAATAAAATATAATGACAATTAAAAATAATATAATATTGTCAAAATTTATTAATTAAATATATTAAATATGAGTTTTTTTCTTATATAAAAGTTTTCAATTATACTAATAATATTTTTTATTTTATATTAAAATAAAAATAATATTATATATAATAATATATATTTTTTTCAGATATTTTATATTTGATTTGATAAAGCTATTCTAATTATATATAAAATTAATTATTTTTTTTATATGTTTTAATTATTTAATAATTAATAATATATACATATCCCTATACTATATTACTGAAAATTAAAAAAAAATATAGTAAACATAGTAAAATTGAGGTTGTTTCTTTATATTAAAATTTATTAGTTTATTAATAAATTTTTTTATTTTTATACTAAAATAAAGATGATAATCTATATTTTTAATATATATTTTTCTAGAATATTCTAGAATTTTTTAGAATTTTTGTTTACTTGTAAACAAAAATAAAATTATTTATAATTAAAATTGAAAAAATTGCAATTTTAATTATAAAAAAATTTTTTTCTATATTTACAAGTGAACAGAAAATTTTAAAAAATTCTAAAATATTCTAGAAAAATATATATTAAAAATATAAATTATCATCTTAATTTTAGTATAAAAATAAAAAATATTTATTAATAATATAACAAATTTTAATATAAAGAAACAATATCAATTTTATTATATTTTATTTTTAATTTCCTGCAATATAGTATAAAAATGTGTATAATTATAATAGCTTTATTAAATTAAATCTAAACTATTTGAAAAAATATATATTAATATATATAATATTATTTTATTTAATATAAAAATAAAAAATATTATTAATAGAAATTGAAAACTTTTATATAAATAAAAAAACTTATTTAATATATTTAATTAATATTTTTGATATTATTATATTATTTTTGATTATCACTATATAATTTATATAATTTATTTATATAAATTAAAGATAAAATGATTTTTATTATTAATTATATTATATCTTAATAGTATTTAAAATTATTATAGTTTAAAAAAATATAAAAATATAAAAAAATTATAAAAAATAAATTTAAAATAAATCAAAAAATTTTAAATACAAAATATTTTTTATTTTATATTAATATAAAATATTTTAGAGCTATTAAAATATCATTAATAATAGCAAAATAATAAAAATATTAAATAGTTAATTAATAACAGAAATACTTATTTTAATTCAAAATTTAAATTAATAATATGTTAATAAACTTAATATAATTCAAAAGTACTTATATGCAAGTTTTAAAATATATATAGATATCTCAATATAAAAATATTATTAAATTTAATCAAAATTTTCTTATATTAAGATTTTGTATATTAAAGATTTCTATTATAAAATTTTAATAGAACCTGTAAAAAATAATATAATTTATTATATAAAAAATAAAAAGTAAAATAAGATATTTTTGAATTTATTGCTAATTTTTATTATTTTAAATAATTTGTATTTTTTATTAATTTTTAAAATTTGTTTATTTTAAGAATTTTAGAATTTTATTTTCTAATTCTTATTTATATTTGTAAATTAATTTAACAATTTATAAAAAAATTTGTAATAATATATATATACATGGTAACTAACATAATTATAGAATTATATATGTAACTTTATTAATAAAATATAATAAAACTTGAAATTTTATTTTATATAAATATTTTTAACTATATTTTTTATTTTTATATCAAAATAAAGATTATAAGTTATATTTTATCATGTATATTTTTGAATTTTTAGATTTATTTGACAAAGTTATTTTAATTACAAAATTATTATAAAAACTTTTATAACATAAATATAAAATTAATTATAACAAATTTTTGCAATAACTTTATAATTAGAAAAACTCTATTAGATAAAATTTAAAAAATATATTAAAATATAAATTGTAATCTTTATTTTGATATAAAAATAACCTATTTCTTAACAAATCTTTTTCTTGTTTGCAAAGTGACAGCAAAAACTTTTTATAATTTCAATAGAGAAATACCAATTCTTACATGTACATATAAAATAAAATCGTCGTCATTAATCACATGTAATGGAAAATACACATTATGCCTGATTTGAATTTCGTCCGTACCAGTGATTGGCGAAACTAAATAAAAACTTTACTGAAAAGTGTTATTCAATAACACGTTTTAATGTAAATTTTTGAAATGATATTCTAAATTTCAATTTTCTTTATTGACAGTAACGGTAATAAGAAAGAAAACAACTTTAGTGTTACCATTACTATTACGAACAGGTTATCGTTATCACTATTCCAAGTTAAAATTAATAACTATCGCTATGATTATGAAACTATAAGTTTTAAATTACAAGCTGGATTCGATGCTTATTTTTCAAACACTAAAACTACGTACGTGGATTACTTCAAGTGCATTAAAAGCTGCGGTGAGGATTATTCACCATGTCAACAATTTTTTCGAGCTTATCATAGTCTTTGTCCCAATGATCAAGTAGGTAAATTTCTTTGATGGTTGGAAGTTATATTTATATTGATTTGATTAATCGATGGGATGTAAGCAAGGAATCTTTCCAGCCAATATACGTATTATGAATCAGTGTTGTTAAATGACCAAATCATGTGCTACTTTAAATGGCTTCTTTACCGTAATTTGCCGCATAAACTACTACCTTCTGTATAAAATTTAAACCTTAATTGTTCCAAATTTTTTAATAAAACCAATTATTTTTCCATAAAATAAAGAAATTAAGATTCACAGTGTAATTTCTTAAAAATTTTTATTACTAAATTAATAGCCTTGTGGTGAAATTAAGGTTTAAATTTTCTACAGAAGGGGTGATTTATGCGGCAAATTACGTAAGTCATTGAAATTTAATTGGTTAAAATGTCAAATTTAATTTTTGAAGTTTATTACGTAACTAATGAAATAGAGCATCATTTTAAATTTTTAGCAGTAAATCAAACGACAAAAAATCCGGTCACTGGGTCATTTGGTCATTTAAAAACTATAGAATATCACTGGCCCTTATTTCATGTGATACGTACTTTGCTGAAAGCCTTAGCGGTTAAAAGGCATTATTTTGCTGATCTGACGAGTAAGCGAATTATCATAAAATGAATTAATAACAATACGTCAAAAGGATATTGTGTTTTGAAACGTGAGCTTTAGTTTTGATTTTTAATAATGAGGGTCATTTTATTATTGTAAAAACCCTATTTTCAAATATTATGGTATAAAAAAAGTGAAACAAGCAATATGTAGTGTATCAATTTTTCTCGTAAAAAATTTAAAACACTACATGTAATAAATAATACAGCATGAAACTCTACTTTCTGAAAGCAAATCCAACATTATACTTTCTATTACGTAATCGAGGAAGAAGAAACTGAACAATATCTAAATCCTGTTCAGGTATATCAACCATTTTATAGCGAAGTACAAGTGTCGTAATAATTAGCCGGAACTCAAGTAACGCAAAACTATAATAATTTGAAAGAGAAAACGAATATTAGCTAAGGTTAGAATTCTAAAAAAAAAAAGGTTAATAAAAGCTTACTTTTGTCCTATGCAATTCCTCGAGCCTAGGAAATATTTGAATTGAAAAAATTTCCATTAGAATAATATTATAACGGTCGAGTTGTAGAATAAAAATCTACGAATCAACTAACCAGCTGAAAAAGGGAAATACGCATCACGCGGAATTTTTCCAGAGTCTAACCATCGTTCAGGAACAAATTCGTTAGCATCTTCGCCCCAGTATTCAGTTGAACGATGTGCCGCATAAAAATTATTGGCTATGTATGTCTAAAAAAACAAATAAAATACATGTATAATCAATTTGACTTTAACTTATTTCAAAGAAAAAAACGTTAAATAAATACATACACCCCTCGGAATTAGATATCCTTTTAGGATTACATCCTTATCAATTTTTCGACCGGTTCCTTTAAAAAATGTCAACAAAATATTGTTAAAACGCCAAACACCAGTTAAATTCGAAAAGATAATAATTACCTATATCTAATAACCAATCAATCAATCAATCAATCAATCAATCAATCAATCAATCAATCAAAAGAAGCATCAGTATCAGCCTTAATTTCCAAAGTTAACCGGAATTCAATACAAAAGTAAATAAGTTAGTTTACAAACCAAAGGTAGCAGGATACAATCGAAGTGATTCATTGATGACAGCATTTAAATAGGGCAGTCGTTTCAACGTCTCATGATCCGGCAAATTATCGGGGCCAATTGAAGGAACTGCCGTTTTTAGTTCGTCGTATAGTTTTTGCAGTTTTTCTTGATGTTTGAGAAGTGTGATCACTGCCATCGAAATACAAAATCCCGTGGAGTCGCTTCCAGCAATTCTAAAATGTTATTTCAAAAATATATAAAGTTGGTGATTTTTAAATCTATGCAACAAATGATCAATAATGACATACATAAATTCTAGCATTTGATCGAAAATTTCGAGATCGGAAATTCCTGATTCTTTTTGCATGTCAAGAACGATTTGTAGTATATCCTTTCGTGGTGGATTTGTTTCTTGACGTCGTTTTTTCAAGATGTCGTCTACAAACTATTCAAAATAATGATAAAATCTTTTGACTTGATTAAAGAGACGTAAATTAATTGATTACCTTATACAGGAATTCCTTATCACCAAAGAATGGTTTCAATAGGGGACTTATTGTTCGCTATTAGAATAAATTTATTAATTTTAGAAAAAACAGTAAACCGATTTATTTGAAATAATAAATTTTTATAATACCAATAAACGTCGTCGAACTCCTTCCCCAACTTCACCCGGCAGTGGATGTTTACCAGTCAAAATCATACCAAACTTTCCACCAAATGCTGTCTCCCCAATGGTATCCTAAATTTCGTAAAATAAAACCGCGCATAATCAATATTCGACTTAATTTCAAATCACGTATCGGTATTATTTCTAAAAATTATCATTACCAAAGTAAAATTAAGTAATATCTCGTAAATATTTATCATCACACCGCTGACATTAGGTCCTTCTTTCTCGATCGTTTGATCAATTTTTATTATTAAGTCGCGAGCGCACACTTTTACAAGTGGATCGAGGGATGCAAGATATTTTATCGCGAAAGCGGGAGATAATAAACGTCGCTATGTGTTGAAATATTCAAATTTGAAAACATAGTTATAGAATAAACTAATTATAAAAATAGTTTTACCCGTTCATTATGAAATGGTTTGGTCCTAAATTTCAAAACTAAATTAATAAGCCATATCTTACATCTAAAATCATAAAAATCAAATTAAATGTTCTTACGTCGCAGTAAATAGAGTCTCATGTTGTGGGTCTCTTCTTATAAGGGCATAACGAGGAGCTTTTTGAAAATCCTAAATGTAGTTCCAGAATATTTTGCTAAAATTATACCAATAAAAACTACAATATAAACAATTAACTGAAATAATAGAGATCAAGCTTACTTCGGTGACTATAATCTATTCGTAAAGAAAGAATCGTTTAGAGAACAATCTTCAAATAACAACGACATTCATTTATATTACCTTTCTAATGTCGTCTCGATCTGAAACAAAAATCCCTTCTGGAGCTAAAAAAAAATTAAAAGAAACATCAGTCAGTCAAAATACAAATTCAATAAAATCTAATAACCAAAAAAAACTTATATACTTACAAGCACGAACAATTGATCCATATTTAGGAAACAACACAAATTGCGTAAATTTCCACCTTTCGAAATAAATTTAGATATTAACAATTCATTTTCTTACATTTAAACAATTAATAAATGTTACATCTACCTGACACCACTGAATAGTTTTATATCGAAGAAAATATTGCTCAACGCGAACAATTTTGGTCCCGGAATTTTCGATAGCGGTCCAAAATACGCTTTATAAATCGTCTATTTTATTGATTAATAATCGACTAATTCTTTCATACAATTGTAAAAGTTAAATTTCCATTGCTTATTACTTACATTATAGACGTATCTCACAACTACCAATACTAGAAATGCTTTAATAATAGTAAAGAAATCTGTTGTTATTGACATCTTTGCTGAAAGATACGTAATCGGATCGTTAATACGTACACAGAATACATACGTACCAATACGTAGCCTAATTTATACGATACAGGCAAGCCTATAACGATAACCATAGAGCGTGTCTCACCATTGCGTATATGTGGGTCAGTGGTTATCGGTATATACAGATACCGATACCGATACCGATACGATATTAATTTTACGGGAAGTCTACGGTACTGAATCACGTGGCCTTTGACACAAAAAAATGTGGAAAACAGATGTCAAAATCTAGCTTGAAGTAATAATAAAAAATGTCGGAAAAGAAATTTTACTTATAACTTTATCCTCAGCTCTAACCCTAACCCTAATTCAAACGATAAAATAACCTTCAACGTCAATTTTCCGTGATCACGTGAGTGTGTATTTTTGAAGTTCACGTGATCAAGCACTGTCCGTAGACTTCCCGTTAATTTTATTGGCTGAAATTCTATCACATGACTTTATTCCGAGATCGATATGTGAAATGATAGTTATTTTGTCTTCCCATTTTTTTAAAAAAGAAAAAGTTGAATGGCCCGTCCGTGTTTTTGCTCAAAAAAAAAGATGGAGATCATTTAATTAAAACAGAAATTTTTTGATGTTACTAAAATGCATGTAACAAAAAATCCAAAATTGATACAACGTACGTAGTGTGTATTTCGAAGAGAATAATCCTACGAAAAATCATCGATCAAAAACGATCGTAAAAAGTGTGAATGCATAAAGTTTACATCCATTAGCCCATTAATTGTTCAATGTACGTAGAGGGTTCCCAGAACTAAGTTATTGGGTCCTACGATAAATTGTATAGAACAAGAGCTTCAAGAAGTTACGTATGGTAAAAAAATCAATGCGTATGGTGAAACACACAGCCTCTAAATCATGCAAAAATAGAAAAATTTTTTATTTATTTTAAACTACATAATGAACCCTAATTCTAATGCGTAGTATAGTTGCCATTTGTCTCTATTAGTATCAAAACATGTCATTGACCAAGATCACGACATAGCGATAGCAAATTACCAATGAAATCATCAATTGATTGTCTCAAAAATAAATCGGCCATTTTAGGACACTATCTCAATGTCCAGTCGAGAGAATCGAATGGTTGTATTTATGAACGACACAAATCACTGAACATCAAGATATTGCGTTCTAAAGTAAAATTTCATATTGCTTGTGAAGAACAAAGTTGCAACAATTGTAAAATGATATTACAAGCTTTTTGTGTTATTCTTCACATGGTAAATTGGGAGGGGTATAGTTGCTTACGCCCCCTACTGTTCGGTAATGATCAAGCAAAGAAGTATAGTACGGGCAACAAAATGTCAGTATGGTATGGTTTTTCTTACTATACTTTATGTATGTACATCATAAACTATCAACTTTTTGTATGTGATTTTAAAATTTTTATAACTCAGGCTAGAATAATAATAAAAGAAAAAACTGCGACAAATGATTAATCAGAAGCCAGGCTAATATTTGCCGCAGCTGGATTTTTAAATTTTTATTTTTTGAATTTTATGAAATTCGCCGTTATTAGTAGTATTATTTGCATTATTATACAATGCAAAATAACATGACTAATAGAAAATCGAATTTTTTTCGCCGTTTAAAAAAAAAGTTGATGGCTATGGTGTCCCCACTATACGTACGTATATCGCTATTATCATGCGTTTTTTTGTAACACTGATCGATTATGGGAAAAAAGGTGAATTCGTCGGCCAACACCAATCTTATTTCCCATCACTAACCCTTACCCAAACTCTAGTTCCAATTCCAAATCCATATTTTTGCATTTCATAAATGTATTTATGTTATACACATTGATTTGGAAATACATGTCAGTAAACAAGCGAAACGCACAGTTCAGCAAGAAAATTACAAAAGACCGTTAAGGTTAACTCTCGCAAATCTATATTTAATTAATTGACTATGTTTCGATATATCGTATTCTTAACTGGCTATTCGTAGGGCTGTTGAAAGTCCGATCCCGTCGTCCCGACTCCAACAGTCGGGACTTTGATTAGGACTCGGTCTCAAAGTTGAGCTCATGCATATTATCGAAAAGAAGGAGCTCTTTAATATAGTACATAACTCTTTAATAGATGCGAGCGATGATTATAAGTTTAATAAAAATTGGGCGATTAATTAATAGTTTATTTAACATGCAATGATTAATTTTTAATTTTACGTAAATTAAAAATTTTAATCATGTTTCAGTTGCTTAACGATTATTAATTATGATAAATGACATTATATGCGTTATATAAGGATTCCATCATGTGATCATTTGGACTCAGTCCAAAAAAAGCTAAGAGTCGGTCTTAAAATGTCCAGGATGAATCGACTCAAGGACCAAGTCCGATGAGCTTTTTAACAGCCTTAGCTATTCGTTAAGAACAATGTCTAATAAAGAACACTTTAATGATGAGGTCCTATTCCTTAATCTTCCTCTTACTAATACGCAATCATATGAAATATGTTTAAGTCAAATTATAACTGTCCGTGCAAACCATTGTTTAACAACCTACAAAAACAATTTATTTATGTTTGGCGGTGCTAAACCAGATCGTTCTCTTGTAGGCACAAAACTCAAATTCCAATCTCGTCAACGGATTCAATTCAATGGAGTCCAGTGAATACAGTAAACGCAATACCGGTATATAATCCAGATGAGATATTAGGGTATTTATTAGTTTTTGGCGTAAGACCAAGAGCCACGTTGATTTCGCCTGGGATCGTTTTATTTGGGCGTGATTATTTGATTTGCCGCAAAATACAACTCTTCCAACTAGTGTGTATCTTTAAAATATTACGAATCGATAGGCATTCAGTGGATGTAAGTAAAAAAAAACGAAATTTTGATTTCAAATACAGTTAAAGTTCGATAAAGCGAACCCTCGATAAAGCGAACTCGTGTTAAAACGATGAATTTTCAGGAACCAACCTATTAACAAAGAACTTGATAAAACGAAGAATAATATAAATAGTACTTTATAACGTTAAGCGAAGTTTATTTTTGAATAACCCGAGGCCTTCGGCTTATCGAACTTTAACTGTACAGAGTATTTTATAATTATTTTAGAGTACCATAATGCTGACGAATTCGGCTGGTGTTGTTCAGGTTAAAGGGAACGTCTTTATTTTTGGAGGATTAAATAAATGAAAAGAAGTTAGCACCGATAAATGTTATATTTACAATCTTACAACAAATAAATTCAGCATATCATCCAGCTCCCAATTCTGACGCAGATGTTTGTGTCGGAGTACTTGCTAATAAAGTGTACAGACATGCGATCAAACTTTTATCTTCGTCAATATCATTCCCAACATATAAAAAAGTGCTCATTTTGAACTACAAGGCCTCTAGTATTTTTTTAAAAATATTTTGACAACAGATTATTTTAGTCAATTTTGTATAACTGGATAATTTAAATTAAAATTTTCAATTAGTAAATTTCTCACATTGAAGAACTTTTTTTCTATGACGGATTCAAATCTGGACCACTAATTAAAAATGTTATACTCTACAAAATCTGCCTATGTACCAATTTTCACAAAAATTTATCGATATTTAAGATCCAGAAGGTTCGAATCTCTGTTAGTAAATAAATAATCGAATTAATGCTCCTAGCAGAGATTCAAACCTTCGGGATCTTAAATATCGATAAATCTTGAGCCAGTTTTGTGAAAATTAGTACATAGGCGGATTTTGTAGAGTATAATATTTTTAATTAGTGGTCCAGATTTGAATCCGTCATAGAAAAAAAGTTCTCCAATGTGAGAAATTTACTAATTGAAAATTTTAATTTAAATTATCCAGTTATACAAAATTGACTAAAATAATCTGTTGTCAAAATATTTTTAAAAAATACTAAAGGCCTTGTAGTTCAAAATGAGTACTTTTTATGTTTGGAATGATATTGACGAAGATAAAAATTCCAGAAAGTTTTGATCGCGTGTTCCATTTGCAGCAGTTTCTGATGGGTCGTATGATGGGCCGAAACAAATTTACATTGCGCCGTTTGATTTACAAAGTTTAAAGTTTGGGCCCAGTGATTACAACGCAAATACACCTTTTCATCAGAGATCGTGCAGCATCCGCTCAATTCACTGGGTCAGATGTTAACTTTCGATTATTCAATTATTCAAATTATTTATTTAGATTCATAGCGGATATAATGCAAGTGATAGTTTGAGCTTTCACAGAAACTTGAACAAATTGTATATATAACCACTTCAACTTCACCTCCATCTCCATCAACTTTTATCAACTGGGTATTATAATTGTGGTTTTATTTCTAATTGTAGTTAGTTTTGTGAGTTGATGATTATTTGCAAAAAATCGACAGTTTAAAATAAAAAAAGAAATTGCAATGAATACAGAGTAAAGAGTGAATAATAGTAGTTGATTTAGTTTTTTTTAAAAAAAATTGTTTATAAAATAGAATTATGGTATTTAAAGCGACAATTTGCGGATACTCTATAGGAACAAATGTCATGTGCTCATAGGAGAATTAAGTATTTAGAAATTATCTATTTGCAAGCGCTTCAGTTAAGAATATATTGATTGATTAGATGCAAAATAATGGTTTAAAAATAGAAACTCTAAGTTTTTCCTTGGGAATGAGCTAAATTCTGTAAGTACTGTAATGCGTTATCTTTTAAAAAAACCAAAGATTGATTTGCTCACAAAAAATTAGTACTGCGATTTTTAAATAAAAGTCTACATCATACAGGCGAGAGCTTTCGTGCACAAACTTTCCTTTTCTTGTTGTACATACCGTCAAAATTCTATAATTACGGCATTTATTCCTTCAAAACTTCAATACTAAATACCAATATCATTATCCGAAAATCATCACTATCGCTATAGTGATAGCCGTACCTCCACCCTCAGGAACAGAAAAAACCTGTGGCTTTGATGGAGGTCAGCCAACAGCAACCCCCATTTTCCGCTGCCGGAACATTCCGACCCTGAC